AAAACCCCCCTGTTTTACTCCTCTAGGCAAGGTCTCCTCAAGTTGGGAGAAAGAAAGTTGTGGGACCTCAACCCCACGAAACCCCCCGCCGGGCCATGTGGGGGGGGGAATTCTCAGATGTAGTCCATACATCTTCAAGTCGCCAAGGTTGAGGAACCTTGCCATAGAGGATCAAAGCAGGGTTATTTCGAGTCTTTTTCTTAGGCACCCACTTTTCCCAGGGCTGAGATGCTGTTGACTGGTAACAGTTCTCGCATTCCTTTGCCAATGTTATCTCTACCTTCCTCTACACATGCAGTTTTTCAGCAGAATATGTTTAAAACCCCTGCTACCAGACTGTCCACTAATAATGTAAAATTACCTGTAGAATCCTTTGTAGTCATTAATGTTGTAAATATTCTTGCTTTAATTGAGAGAAAGAGTGGAAGTTAGCAGATTTTAAATAGCTAAAATATGAAACTTATTTGTCAATTAATCTCCATTGCCCTTTGAATCCCTGGCAAATAAGATGCGCAGAACCATTGTCATGCCCGCTGGAGAAATCTTGCCAAACATCTGCCTGAAATCCTCCATTTTTTTCCTTTTGGTATCTCCAAGTGTCACTCCCAAAGGATTATCTTTCAACAAATAATAGCAACTTTCGGGCATTCTTTTTTTTCTGGACAGGAAAGATTGGAAATCCTTGTAATTTGCCTGACACACATTTCTAGCTCCTCTTATAATTTTTCAGAAGCCCCCAAAATCAAACTTGATTGTTTTTGTTTCTTCAGCAATTTTTGTAAGACTCAAAACCTTATTTCAACAAACTGCGTTTAATAGTAGCTCATAAAAGTTAACTTTTAAATTCTTCCAATGATTTAAAATCTCATTCTATTTTATACTCAGATATACACTGAGTAATTCCACAAACATGTTGGTGGGGCAGATGCTGCTTACCTGCACAGGTGTATGTGGCTAATCCCCAAGTTGTGGCACTCACTTGTGCAGAATCTCTAGTCTGCCAAAGACACCGGAGCTGAGCAAGTTTACTTGCTGCGCTGACTACTGTGCTCAAGTTCTGCAGAAAGGCAAGAACAGGAGTGCAACTGTTAAAGCAAAGATCAGATTGAGGGGTGGGAAGCGGCCATTGCTCAATTCCTTTGTAAACAGAAACACAATCTCTAACACTGCCAATTCAAAAAAGAGTTCAAGTACCAGGAACCAAAGGGCCCATTTGGCTTGAGATCCAACAAAGCTGCTGCCAGTTACTGAAGAGGACATTTAATGCTTGGCTCTGCAATGATGCGTTAAACAATTCCTTGACTAGGTTCACATGTTATGTTAAGCCATACTGAGATTTGTTTGGTTTTGACTTAGTCTATTGTATAATCCAATCATCATGGTTAAGCAAATATATTTTAATTTAGGCCCCATTTAACAGGCGGCTCTTCCAAGATGGCATGCATAATACAAGTGATGAGACAATTGAAAAAAACAACAGTAAAAACATCAACTAAAATTAGTAGCTCAAAAATACAACTCCATAGCAATTGGAGCCCCTTTTCACAGAACTTGCATCTGATGTCAGAAGCAGACAATACTGCAGAAATGGGAGGCAACTTATTTCTCACCCAACAGCTAGAGACATACTTAGGCCAGCGTTTCTCAACCTTGGCAACTTGAAGATGTGTGCACTTCAGCTCCCAGAATTCCACATGGCTGGCT